TTGAGCTCAAGAGTCTGAGGTTGCTATGAGCTATGACACCATGGTACTCTACTGAGTAGAGTGACAAATGAGACTCTGTCTCAAAAAAAAAGAAAAGAAAAACAGCTAAGTTTAGCTCCAGTGAAGAATTATACCAAAAGATTATCCAGAATATACATAAATTCTTAATCAATTAGGCAATTCATTTCAAAAAACCACAACAGTTACCTTTATTAAAAGTCATCTATCTTACTTAAAAAAAAAAAAAATACCGACAGAGATGAAGAGGAATTCACAAGGAAAGAAATATAATGACCAACCTTTCCTAATCAGGAAATTACAAATTTAAGAGTTTTACAATATCACATGTTAGTAGGGATAGGTACAGGAGATAAAACATTTGGTGAGAATATGTTGGTATAACTGGGGAGACAATTTGATCATATCTACTAACGACTTTAATGAACATAATCTTTGAAACAAGTCTACTTCTTAGCAGTCTCCCTTGAGAAACTGATAATGCATAAAGAAATTTGTACAAAGATACTCACTGAAGCGCTACTTACAAAAGCTAAAAACTAGAAACAACCTAAATGTCTATCAATAGGGAATTAATTGAATAAACTATAAAGAGTTGTTCAGTAAAATGAAAATCTACATAAGATCTCCAAGACATACAGCGAAGGGAAAAGAATGAGGGAGAGCAATATGCATAATAATTGAACGGACAATGAACGCCCCACACATACACCGTGCAATATCCTGTATGTCAGCAACTATGCACTTACGCAGGTAGATATACTGGAATGTAAATTTATTTTTTTAAGAATTGGAAGAATATATACTAAACCAGAATACATACAACTGCACAGCATGGGCCGCAGGCAGATGGTTTGAGGACTGTTTTCTTATCTGTGGTGTTGGTATCACAAAAAGCTCATCTGCTATTGTCGGTGCTTGTGTGTTCAATGTGTGCCCAAGAATGCCCAGGGCAACTCGTATACTTCTAATTTGTGGCAGAGAAGAAAAAACTTTGGACAGGCTTTTAGCTGTTAATAGTACACATTTCTGAGAAGAACTATGCACATAAAGACGGTAGTGAAGAATTTTAGCTCTATTCCTATATTGAATTTTTTAATAAAACTATACCATTTATCTAATTAAAACATTTTAAATCAACTGTTTTGAAGTCTTATCTAAAAATGACAGATGAAACATGCCCTACCAACTATAATATACTTCTAATGCATTCAGCTTTTTTCTGCAGCAGAAGTTATTAAACGTCACTTACCCCCGGGCAATGGTTTATCTTTGTCTACATTGTTGTTCTCATAGAGAAACTCATAACCAAAATGCCGTACTCTTCTGTGTTTTAAGGACTTCTGAACTGTGTGAGGAAAGAAAGCAAACTACTGAGGAGCAAAAACAACGCATTTCTTTGTATGTTTCAAAGTCAACATTCTGAATAAGGATTAGTTTAGTAGCAAGAATTTCTGTTAACTGTTAAATTACTGTCTTTAATAAAATTAACTGTCTCATATTTGCTGTTCTGTCAAATTTAAAATTCTAACAAACTCTAGTTTCCTCCAATCAATCTGAAAGCTAAACATGTACACTGCTGCCACTCACAAACTACTAATGAGTCAGAGAAATTCTGATTTGCAAATATCTCTAGGAAGTTCTTACATATTATAGTGGTATGGAGTTGAACCGCTGACTCTGCATGGAAAACGTGCCTTAGGGTAAAAAGGAATGAAAAAAATAATCTCAACAAAAGGGTTTATAAAAGCTACACAATTATTTTTTAACCTGAGACTTTGCTGGATTTAGTTATCAATCCCAGGAGTCTCTTGGCAGAGTCTTTGGGGTTTTCTAGATATAAGATCATATCATCAGCACAGAGTATTAGTTTGACCTCTTCCTTCCCCATCTGGATGCTAGGACTTGATCTGGCTAGGACTTCCAGTACCATGTTAAATACAAGTGACAGTGGGCGTCCTTGTCTTGTTCCAGTTCTAAGTAGGAATGCTTTCCACTCTTCCCCACTCAGTATGATGTTGGCAGCAAATCTGTCATATGCAGGTTTTATGTTCCATCTGTGCCAACTTTGTTAAGAGTTTTTATCATACAAGTTGCTGAATTTTGTCACATGCTTCTTCTGCATCTACTGCAATGACCATATGATCTTTGTTTTTGCTTCCATTTACGTAGTAAAATCACATTTACTGGATTTACATATGTTGAATGATTCTTGCAAACCCTGGGATGAAGCCTACTTAGTCATGGTGGATGACTTTTTTGATGTGCAGCTGAATTCAGTTTGCTAGAATTTTGAGGATTTTTACTTCTATATTCATAGGGATATTGGTCTATAGTTTTCTTTTTTGGTTGTGTCCTTTCCTGGCTAAGATACTTTGCCAGGGTGATACTTTGTAGAACAAGTTGGGGAGGATTCATTCCTTGTCAATGTCATGAAGTAGTACCTGCAGTATGGGTACCAATTATCTGTAGATCTGATAAAATTCAGCTGTGAAACCATCCTGTCTGGGGCTTTTTTTGTTGAAAGATTTTTTATTCCCACTTCAGTTCTGATGCTTGCTACAGGCAGTCCCAAGTTTATGAACAAGATTGGTTCTGTGGGTTTGTTCTTAAGTTGAATTTGCATGTAAGTTAGAACAGGTACATTTACCTATTACCTGTAATAGTCTCTGTTCATAAGTGTGAATCGTAGGTCAATCAGATGTTTTTAAGGCAGGGACTTACTGAAATACCTCCATTCATAAGTGCAAGTTGTACAGAAGCTGGATGTTTTTAACTCAGGGACTGCCTATATTTGTCTGTTCAGGAGTTCTGTTTCTACCTGATTGAGCCTTGGGATACTGTGTGTTTCCCAGAATTTGTCCATTTTTCTCAACATTTTCAAGTTTACATACATAGAGATTTCACAGCATTCACAGATGATATTTTGTATTTCTGTTGTATCAGTTGTTGTATCTCCATTTTCGTTTCTGACTGAGCTTATTTGGATGCTTTCTCTTCTATTTTGGTTAATCTAGTGAAGGATCTATCAACTCTGCTTATCTTTTCAAAGAACCAACTTTTTGTTTCATTAATCATCTATATTACTGTTTTGTTTTCAATTTCATTTAGCTCTGCTCTGACTTCAGGTATTTCTTTTCTTCTCCCAGGTTTGGGTTTGGTTTGCTCTTGGGTATTTACCCAAAGGAAAAAAACTCATTTTATCAAAAAGACAATTGCACTCCAATGTGTGTTGCAGCACAATTCACAATTGCAAAGATGGGAAATAAAAAAAAGTCCCCATCAATTCTTGAGTGGTTTAATAAAATGTGGTATATGTATACCATGGGGCACTCCTCAGCCATAAGAAAAACAAATGCTTTTTGCAACAATCGATTGGATGGAATTTCTAGTTTCTCCTAAGTGAAGTATTGCAAGAATGGAAAAGCAAACATTATATGTACTCACTATTAAATTACAACTAACTTATCAACACTCAGATGCACAGATGGAAGTAAAACTCAACAGAAATCAAACAGTTGGGAGAGGAGAGGATGGCTGCAATCATGCCTCCTGGGTACAATCTACACTACCTGGGTGATGTGCACACTTTGACTCAGGCAGTACAAACGTGGACCATGACTGAACCCTCCAACTCAGAATCCCGCTCAGCATCCTGGAGCCTCAGTTGGCCTGAGCTGGTGGGGGCACCATGCAGGCCCCCCAGCAGGCTGTGGCACACCATGGCCCAAAAACCAGTATAAAACACCCCTTGTCCGGGGAAACAGAGTTGTGGCCACAAAGGCAGCCAGCCCCTCACCAATCAGGGAATGCATATTCCTGGGAACCTGGTGCTAAACAATTGCAACTGACCTGCTTCTGGATTGGGGTTTCATACATAGCAGAGCAGGTCCCTTGCTGCAATCTATTGAAAGTCAATCCTCAACACAAGAGTTTATTAAAAAAATTAAAAAATAAAAAAGGGAGAGAAAAAAAGAGATGAAAAAGAAAATAAAAAAGCAGGACAAAAGCAATCCACATAATCAAAACACGTGTTCCCCCATAATATTCTGAGATGAAAAAAAGTGACCCAAATGTTAATAAATATTAATGTTTAGAGTTTAAACTGATAGACGTATAAATGTTATTTATTATTACTGTTCCCAATAATTGTTAGTATGACTTACTTAGCATTAGATTCAGGCCACTTTCAAAAATTTTGAGAAAATATTAATAAGCCATGAAGAGAGGAGGAAAGAAGCAACAGCATGGCATTTTGGTGAATTTTTAAATATCAGGCTTTAAAAAGTTTTACTTACAATTTTGTTTATCTGTATCTTCTGTCCAATCAATACTTTCCAAAAGCAGTTTCTCCTCCTCAAAAGAAATTATTTCTTCGATTACCTTGAGGCCTGGTGGTAAGGCTTGAGGGTCCAACTCTTTCCACTGTACTAGGGGAAAACAAATTAAAATAGTCACATACAAAACTAATAGTTCATATATATATATATATATATAAATAATTCTGTTCAATAGCTACTTATCAGTTTACAAAACTCCCAATTCTCATTTTCAGAAATAAGAATGCTGAAAGGCACACAACATATTAAAAGTGCAGAAAACAAAGACCAAGATCAAAATTACTGTACATTTTACCCACTGCAATTACCAAAAGCAAATAGAACGATATTTATTTAAGTATTCTGTTTAAACATGAGTAAGTCACTTTTTACATCTTACCATGAGACAAGTATTTAGATTGTCGCTAAATAATGAATACAAGAAGTTAAATGCTCATTTTTGTTCTTAAGGTCTTCATACTAGCTAGCATGGTCAAATAACAGAAAAATTTTAAAAAACATAAAACTTTCTAAAGAAAAAACAAATACCATTTATGAGGAATTATTTAACATATATTAAAATAATTTAAGTTCCTGCATTTTTTAAAGTTTTATACAGGTACAGCTACAGCTCTAGAAGGAGAAGAAAAAGAATTTAGTGTATTCACATTTACTACTGGGGCTGATCATGCATGTCACAGATGAGATTTCTCAATTTTTTCTGCCAGGCAAATTAACTCTTTGAATTATTTAATATAAAAAGTCACAAAAATAGTAAGTACCTACTAGATTCTACTAGTAACATTTCAGAAACATAAACAGCAAATCATTTGATAACTACATGCCAGTGCCTACCGTGTGCCAGACATTATTTATTTAAACTATATAAGGAAAACTTTAGAAAAAAGTAATTTATAGTATAGTATAAATAATTTCAATTTAGTTTTCTAAATATGTTTTTTTAAGAATTAAAAATATCCCTTATGGCTCGGCGCCTGTAGCTCAGGCGGCTAGAG